TACAAACACCATTAGAACAAATCATTCTATTCATTAAGAGAATGCAACTATATATCTATCCCAACCTCTTTGAATACACAGATACAAAATGGACATTCATTGGTATACTCCATGGGAAGTTCAATATTAAGGCCTGGACAGATTTAATCTCTGGTCAGGGCTTGCTTTTCTGCTCCAAAAGTGGTGCTTTCCTGTTGCATCCTGTCATGCTAGAAGGTACTCAAACCTTGCTTGATCTCTCTGTGAAGTCACTCAACCCAGTTATGAGGGTGGAACCTTCATAGTTTAAACACTTTCCAAGCACCCCACCTTTTCAGCCCATTGCTTAGGATGTCGATTTCTACATATGAATAAGAGAGAAGGGGTTCATACACATTTAGAACATAACACATTTCAAGGTCAGACATCAACAAAAAAAGGAGACCAAACCAACACAATAACATGAAATAAATAGATGAAATTGGAGGAAGGTGTTGAGAAATTTCTGTTCTGTAGGAATCCATATCAATGAGGGACATTTAATCATACCCAACTCCATACCAACTGAGACACAAACCTAGGCAGTGCTAATAGTTGTCTAAAAATTAAATTTCCTTAATCTTTCCTCATTCTTTCTGGAATTCTTATCTATGGCTGGGACTAAGAACAATGGCAAGAGAATGCTTAATTTTCAATCCCTGGATATTTCATCTATTTCAATATAAAATTAGTGTAACATACCTGGAGATGTTTGAAGAAAATGTGAATTACATCGTGAGTTATTTTCAGGCAATATACCCAAGATAGCTATAATATAATTCACATTTTGTTTAAAAAAGTAAGAATGTATATGAATGTGAACAGGTACACATACACTTAAAGACTGACAAAGATTAGACTAGTATGTTAACTGTGGTTATTTCTGCCTGATGTTAGGTTTTTATTTCCTCTCTTATTTTAGACATTTTTTTTGCAAAGATCCTTTGTTGCAATTGTGATTGAAAATTATAATCTTAAGGCAACAAAAATTTCAGGAAAAAATGTTAATAGGTTGATTCTTACCACAGGGAAATCCAGGCATGCCAGGCCCAGATGGGCTCGAAGGCTCCGTGGGACTTAAGGGCCCTCAGGTATGTATTAGGGTTCAAGCCCGTGTGAGACTGTGCAGAGAAACCTGGGTGGGGAAGCATCTTCCACATTGACTGAAATCCTCAAAACACCTTGCAGAATTACAGATGCGTAAGTATTTTCAAGGTAGTGAGGAAGCAACACAGTTGACTTGTGTGGCCCTTGGTCTCTTTCACCTAAGCTTTTTCCCAGTTGAGAGGTGGAAAGAGAACAAGCAGGCTGGGCAGCAGTCCCTGTGTTGGGTTAGGGCTTGTCAGGATAATCCAGTAAGACCGTAAGCCAAGGAAAATTTGGAGCCTCAAATCTGGGAATTGTGGTCAGTTTAGCACAGTCATAGCTCAGTGCTACATAGTTGAATGGCCATGGTGAAGAAAAATTGGCTCTGCTGTAGGAAAGAATTGTGCTCAATACAGCTGGAGGGTTCAGCGGGGTGATCTACAGTGCGGCGCTCCACTGGCCCCTTCCAGCTGGCTTCTCCAGGGAGCTGCCTTAAGCCTTTCCCTTTGCAAAGCACAAGCCATCATTGGCTCTTCCCGCAGATCACGGGAGGCAAGGGGAGAGTGCGTGCCAGGGAGAGCAAAATGTAGCCTCCGTTAATCATGAGAAAGGAAAGGCTCAAATGCAAATGCTGAGATGAAAGAAAGAAGTCAGAATGTTCAGCATTTTCTTTCCTCTTCACACTTAGCTTTAAAAACATAAGTAAGACATATGGAGGTCAGTCAGTGGTTCTGCTTTTTTTCAAAAATTTAAAACAGTTCAAAAGGGGAAAGATTATATATTGGCAGCCTGGTGCACGGAAGTGGAGGAAAATGCCCTTAAACATCAGAACAGAAATTTTATCTGCATAGTACCAAGATTTCCAAGCAATAACACAGTCTTCCCCTTGCACTTTTATCTTGCTTTAGCTTGATTGCTTTTCTTTGCCGCTACTTGCTGGCTGAGGAGTGCTCTATTTTCTTACTTTTAAGTGAGAAATATTTGCCCCTGGGATTGTGGAGAAACATTTCAATAGACTGCCTGTATTTCCTGCTAAGCAAATGATGCTGCAGTAGCCTTTTTTTCCATTTTATTGACCCTTAGGTTTATTGTTTTATAATGCAATTTAAAATAGGAGCAAAAACCAAATGCAGCGTGATTTCTCTGTGTAATGCTCAGAAACCATAGCTAAGAGGCCACATCATGTTGCAAAAGCAGACTCAGCCATACTTCATCTGGTCATGCACCAGTATCTTCTTTCTGACCAGGCTTTACAGTGGTTATTGAATAAAAAAATTAAATATTCTGGTTTTAGGTTTACATAATTAAGGATATCATACTTTTTTTTTGTCCTCCTTTATTTTTTATTTTTTTTCCTACAGTTTTATTGATAAACATATAGCAATGAGACAGTTTCAAATCAAATCGGAAGTACAGTTTCAACAAATAATACACTGCATATATTCTTCTT